TGTCCTAAACCCGAGTATTGTTTTTGACATAATGTGTAAAATATGTTGTTTTCAGATACGTATACATATGTCATCCGACGACTGCCAAGAGCTGGTGCACCCGACCCCGGGTCTGGAGGACCACTATCGCCCTGTTTTTGACAGCATTTCTCACACAATTGAGTCGTTTCTTTGACTCGAAGTACGAGTCGACGGAATTCGAGTGGAATGGGGGCCGGGAGTGGGCCTGCAGTCGAGACATCGCCGACTGGGTCGAGGGCATAGTCGGCGCTAATATCTATTTTCCCATTTATTATGGCTTTCGCATACTATTCGTGAACGTCGGCCCGTGTCTGGCGTTAGTGGTTCTCAATCTTCTACTGTTTCGAGCGCTCAAGGTATGGGCAAATGGTATGCCGTAGAGTAGGCCTACCAGCGCCTTATAAACACTCATTAATCATAAGTTAATAATAGACTCGCGATTCTCTCTCTTTCTGACAACACTTTTACGCTATTGAAAGACAATTTTATTAACACTTGAGTTCATACATTAATACATTTTCTCGGCCTTATATATAATACAAGTATATTTTTGGTCAACAGATTTATATGTCTTCTATGTTTTACTAGTTTTTCGTAACATTTCAATCAAAAGACATATTTGTATTATACTCTATTGATATCCATTTCGTATGATTTCCTTTTGGGCTAATAATCTGTTAATCTGTTTGACTGACAGAACGCGCAGAAGAAAAGGAAAATCCTATTCAAAGACAAGAAAACCTGTGAGTCTAAGAAGATTTATTGATATCCATTTCGTATGATTTCCTTTTGGGCTAATAATCTGTTAATCTGTTTGACTGACAGAACGCGCAGAAGAAAAGGAAAATCCTATTCAAAGACAAGAAAACCTGTGAGTCTAAGAAGATAAGGGACTCCAACTCCACCACATATATGCTGATCGTTGTGGTGACAGTGTTTCTGATGGTGGAGATCCCGATGGCTGTGGCCACTCTCATACACATATTGGCCAATATGTCGATCATATCGTTCGCCAACGAGAGCTACAAATATCTGAAGATCACGATTCTTGTGTCCAATTTCATCATTATGTTGAGCTTTCCCCTCAATTTTGCCATTTATTGCGGAATGTCAGCCAAGTTTCGCATCACATTCAATGAGTTGGTTATCAAAAGGTTTCGCACCAATCGACAGGCCTCGGAGCCCAACCATTACACACACGTGTCTATGTCTACGAGTCTTTGATTTTATCTAGACTTTGGCACAAATATCATATGAACTTATATTTTGTAAATATTATCTATAAATTATAAATTAACGTTAAATGAAATTGACATTTATATAACTATAGTTTAGTTTTATTGAGTTTAGCATGATAGTTATGTAATGTACTAAAAACGTACTAATGTATATATTTATCTAACACTTATGTATTAAAATTCAATTGAAAATGGTATTTTATTTGCTTAACTAATTGTATTTTCAAAATGGATAGTCATATAATAAATAAATGATTCATTACTTGTAATAAATATTTTACATTACTTTCTCCTTAAATACAATTGAATTATAAATATTATACAAAACGACACAATAGGACAGAATTTGTTGGAAAAGTAGTTTCTTTTTGTGAAGTCTAAGCCCCGACTCCTAACCATTAGTTTTATAAATATTAATGCTTTCACTCATTGTTAGAGAAAAACATTTCCTTTTCGATTATATCTACAATTTAATCGATAAATAAGTTTGATTTATACCTCTATCTGTCAACTTAGGGTCTAATAAATTGACTCAAATTTAACTTAAATACTATGCAAATCGTTGGGGAAAATGTGCTTTTTTTCTGGTATAAAAATAACTGTCTCTCCGGTCACACAAATGTCCGATCATTTACTGCCAAACCTACACTTTTTATTACTTTCGATAAAACAATTAATTTATATTTTTATTTGAATCTCAATTATCTAACCCTAAAGAGAGAGTAGCGTTAAATACTCGCTGGGAATACATGTCTGCCCGTATTGCCTGTGTTTATATCGTACACAACATTAATATCAATCGACAATATCTGTGATATTTTTGTCCATTTTATTGGGAAATAAATGAATTGATTCTGTGTTACAACAGAATTGATGGCAAATGAAGTCAAAGAAAATAACTATAAATCAAAATATTATATGATTTATAACTATTTCATTAGTTTTGGCATCACTTTCATCGTATAATTACTATAATCCTGACGTAAAGAAAGGAAATTACTGAAAGAAAAAACCAAATTTTAATCACAACAAAAGGTCAATAGTCAGCGACTGGCGATTCTGTGGGCTCACAGCCCCTACATCTTTTTTAAATGCTAATCTTTGTAAATTATGAATGATGTTCCCCTATAAAGTAGAAATTTATATACTGTTATTTATTTTCCCTCATAAAATACAGTAATTTGCAGTATTATAGACTTATAATGCCTTGTATTGATATCATATTATATAAGTAAGGGTTTTTGAAAAGTTGTAGTTTTTATATAAAGAATCAATGAATCAATGAATCAATCATTAGATTTATTGGTGATTTGTATCAAACGATGCAAACATCCCTTTTCCGTTACAAAGTGAAAATTTAGATGTAAATGTGAAGGTCATTTATTATAAAACTAAAATTTAATTATGAGTTAAACATTTAGAAATTATTTCTATATTTTATTCAATCTTTCCATTTATAGAAATACATAAATAATTAATTATTTTTATTTAATTTGACAACAAATAAAATTCAGGCAAAAATTGAAAAGAATTAGTAGTCATATAAATATATTAATGAATAAAATAACAAAACTACAATAATTTAAACATAATAAATTGTATACAATAATTATTATTCACAAAAATAAAATATGTAATAATGATACTGTATAATAATTATCATTAATAAATTGTGAACTACTCCATGTATAATAACTTAAATTGAAAGCTCATAATAGTGTATCACATAAGATTTAATACAATAATAACCGCTTAATCAATAATAAGTACATTTTTACATAAACCAACACAATTAATAAAATTTTTACAATTATTATAACTACGGTATAACTTGATCGTATATCTAATATTATATATTTATTTACATTGATATACATTGTATACAACATTTCATAGGTTAGTAGCTGTAGTGACAGCCGATTTTGATCCTTGCACTTGATCTCTGAGTTTTTTGATAAATAACTGACTAAACGTTTCCCTAAACTGGCGACTCATCCCGCAATAAATGGCGAAATTTAGCGGAAAACTCAACATAATTATGAAGTTTGTGATCAAAATAGTAATTTTCAAGTATTTGAAATTCTCATCGGGGAACGGTATGATCGCGGTGTTGGCCAACACGTGTATGAGAGTGGCCACAGCCATGGGGATCTCCACCATGAGGAATACGGTCACCACTACCATCAACATATATGTGGTTGAATTGGAGTCACGAATATTCTTGGATTCCGTGTTTCGCTTGTCTTGAAAGAGTTTCTTTCGTTTTCTTTGTGCCCTCTGTTATGATAAATGAGAAATCAATGAACACTTAACACAATCAGATGTTTTTCACGAGAGATACCATACCCGGAGAGCCATGAATAGGAATACGTTGAGGACTACCAGTGCCAGACAGGGACCCATATTGACGAATATAATGCGAAACCCGAAATACAACGGAAAGTAGAAATTCTGATAGTTTTCCACCCAATCGGCCATCAATTGCTGACAACCCATACATGTCACACCATTTGACTCAAACTCCACTGACTTATAGAATGAGTCAAAGAAACGACTAAATTGTGCCGAAAAAGACATGATAAATATGGTGATTATGGCCCGGCTCACACGCGGGATTGTACACCAGGTCTTGGCCAACACTGGGTGACAGATGTATATGTATCTAAATAATAAATATTATTATGCAATATATTATAAATTATAAATCAAGAATTTTACTTAAAGATAAGTGAAATGTTTTTTAGTGAAATTTGAAAAATGCCAAATATGTGGCACCCATTTAAAACTTATTTACTTTTCTATGTATTCTTTACTGCGAATAATAGGCGAATAACATTAAAAATAAATAAAAACAGATTTCAAATCTCATAACTCATAAATGAAATGACTTTTGGTATTTAGATGTGCCGTCGGTTTTGACTGCGAAAAATAAGGGGAAATATTTATTTTATTTATTATTTGTCTCTCATATATTCAATGAATCTTAATATTTGTCATTTGATTGGATCCACAACAAGAAAAAAGATCTGCCTTTCACTCGCTATCTCTTGATTTTATTCAAATTCTTTACTCATATATAAGAATATATATCATGTCATCAAAAGAATTTCTAAATAGTTCTGGTATTTAAGCATTTATTCTGTACTTTTCGAGGGGGAAATAAAAAGCTTTTTTTTATAAAAATGGTAAAAGACTTTTCAAATGCATTTAAAAATATATTTATCTGTTGTTTGCAATCAAAAGAGGAGATTATATAAGAAGTGGCGACAGAAATAAAGAATTGTTATATTGTTATCACTATTTGAGTAAAATTTTTTGCGCAAAAAAGAGTAAAAAATGACATTTAATTAAATTGTCATTTGAGTGAAACGAATGCAACTAAACGTGGGATCAAATTGAAAAGCAAAAAGTTTTGCAGTTTTTGTTCTTAAAGAATAAAATAAGATTTCCTTTTAAACTCAATCTATGTTTATATTAGATCTCGACTTCCCTTATAAAAAGAGCTATAAATTGAAATGATAATCATAATATTATTATAAATATAACTTGAATGCAAAAAACGATTTGACTGTAGACAATGGGATAGACGTGTTGTCACCAGCCATATAAAATGACACCATTATTCACTTGATATATACATAATTATTCATAATTAACAAGTTACTTCACTTAATATATAAATTATTTAAATAACATTTTATACAAATATTCTAACATTTAATTTCTCACAAGAAGTTTAATTATAACTTATATTTCTATAATAAATATAAAGATATGACTGAAACCGTGCCAATGAGTGATACCTTTGTCCGGCCAATAAGATGGTGAGCCATATGGACGCCGTGTGGAAAAACATGGGAATCACTTCAATCATCTGTGAATAGGCATAACAGGCCACCGGTGGGTAAAGCAACTCAGTGTGATATCCCAGCGTATACATGTAGAAGTACCAGGGACTGGGGAACACCAGGGTCAGCATGTCGGCCACGGCCATCGACAGGAGCACTATATTAGTCGGTGTTCTCATGTGTTTCTGCGCCAACACTAACACTATGAGAATATTGGCCACTAATGTCATGATCAGTAGGAATGGCATAATATAGCCGTACATAACCATCGCGTACTCAATGGGTGTCGTCTGTGTAATGTTAAACACCCGTTGCATGGGCTCCGGGATCGACACATTTGTCGTGAGGTTATAGTCGTCCCCGAAATGGCTTTCATTATACGGAGTGCTATTACTTGAGTTATGAGAAAGAGTTAATGAAAGCGACCATAAATTTGGTCCATAACTGTCGCCGACTACTTGGGTGCCATCCATTAAATTAGTAGTTTGTGTGAAGTTTTCAATGGTCTTATGATCCATTATTTATTGATACGAATTGTGTGCTATACTTGTGACTAAAATCACTCAATTCCTGGTGTGAATCAAGTCATTGAATTTGGTTCATAAAAGTGTGTGGAGTTTGCACTTAGGATCCACTCAAAAGTCTGTGTTTTTCGACGCCCAGTAACTTAATATAATTATTATGTAATACAGTATTTATGTAATAATTCCTTTTCCAGTGGTTTGTATTTTATTTGTGATGTGATTTTCAAGTGAACACAGATTAACACTAATCTGATTAGTTTGTAATGAATTTATCTGTAAATTAAAATGTATAAACATTAGTAGAGATTAACAATTAAAATTATTTTTACGGCATAAGAGTAAAAATAATCAAAAATTAGATTAGGCTACATATTGTATAACTAATATTGTAAATTGAGTGAATACAAATATAAAGTTTCACATAATGTTAGGGGATAAGAATCAGAGATTATACAAAAATTACAATTTTCATAATACATTTACACACAGAATAACTGCAAATTTGTGTTTCCAGACACTCTAACAGTCATTATATGGCATCTCATAAACGTCTCATTTGGTTGTATTTTAACCAGAATTAAAGCCAATATATTTCACTTATTTTTATGCCAACAAAAACGCTAAGTGTATGAACATTTTCTGCACAAAAATGGACTGTTTTGTGATTAACTCCTATAATAGCTGTTAAGGAGTTCATCAAAAAATATAATGGAAGTCATCAGAGATAAAGATAATGTCTAATGAAGTGAATGAGTCTATAAAAGCATTGATGAAACAAAACAAAAACAAAAAACAAACTTCACTTTTGTCAAGAATATTAACATGGATAAATACTTCTAATACATAGTATAATGTATAAACCTATAAGCAGTTTAAATAAAAGTTGAAAATAAAATTCATAAACCGATTGTGAGTGTGAAAGAGACACACTTTTTGTAAATATTCTCTAAATTTTTTATTTGATTCTTTATGTTTAAACATAAACTAAATAACAGTATTTTGTATAATACTTTATATTTGCTTTTACTTATTTTTATACATATATACAGTACAATACAGTACAGTATTATGTATTGTATGTATTGATATCAAAAGGAATTTTTGTTATTTTTTCTCAACTGAACAAAAAAGGCATTAATTTTAATCTATTGAACTCGTATTTAGACTGTTATCCATTTCATAGCATCCCTTTTCATTCAAATTCATATGTTTTTGTATTATAGAGAGATGTGAAGTGTTTAGTAGAGAGAAAAAGGAAGAAAATATTTGGTCATTAAAATGAATGATTGGATGAGAAAAGAAAAATCTTTAAATACTTTAAGCAAACAAAAAGAGTTTTAGAAAATTTTCCCAAAATAAGGAAAATGTTTAATATATTCAATAAAATACTTAAATAAATGTTTTCTCTCAACAAAGAATTTAAATTATATATCAAATTCTTATTTATTATAATAGACTATAATAGCGATTCACAAGTTTATCCAGTTTAATTTTTCTAACTTATCTTGTTTATTAATAGCGCATAAAATTATAGTAACTGACACTACAAAATATTTAAAATGTTTAAAAACTAAAAATCGTGATATTAGTTTTGTAGCAAATAATAAATTACAAACTTTATTATAACATTAAAAGTGATACTGTAGGAAACTTGTAAAATAAGTTATTGTGAGAATAATGTTTATTTATTTACCTTTAAAATTATTCATTCACTATATTCTGTATAATAATATACAGAATAAAAGTGTAAAGAATTTAGCGAAGCAAAGCATATTAAGTGTCATTTGTAGCACCAGTAGTTCACTACTTTCCCGTCGACTATACCCACTACTGATCTCAATATAAATACTGTCTTTAATGCTCTTTTCAACGGATAATTAAGTGTTGTATTGCAGAGACAGCTAATTATCTGACAAAAAGATTTGTTTAAGAAATGCTCTATTTTTTGCGCTCACATGCTATCGGAACTGTCAGTCCCTAAGACTATCGGTGCTCACGGATTACGACGTTTTTTTGCTTCATAAGTAATTTTATTCAATTAGAAAGTTTTAATTTTCTGATTACGTAAGATTATATACGAGGATATCATTGAATATAAGTTTTTGGAAACAACAATAAGAAATAGTTGCCATAGTTTGTCAACTAATTATATTTTTGAGTCTTAGAGTCCCTAATAGAGTGCCGCCACTCAACGCACAGACAATATAATTAAATTTCCTCTCATATACTCATATACTTTGAAAGAATTTCTAACTTTTCTTATCTATAATTGAAACCTATATATCATTCCTTAAGAATTCAAAACACATCTCAAAAGATTCATAAAACTTAATAAAACTTTCAGTTATTTATGAACAATACAGAGTGTATGAGAGAGTGAGTGAGTGAGTGAGTGTGTGTGTGTGTGAGA